CGTGTATTTTCCCGCCATTAAGCCTTTTGAAAATGGTAATAATATTTCTTTTTCATCTCTCAGTTAGTTAACTTGAATGTGGAAGAGAATGTGGATGAACCACATTATTCTCTACATCATATGCATTAATTATGTCCACCTCATCACTACATTAGTGATTACATTGTACATTGGAGGACTACAAGTGAAGACATTGCTAAGTATGTTAATATAAAGTGTAAATTACTACAACTACATTTCACCATTGGAGATGCTCTAAATCTCCTATCATTCTACTGTATCGTACAAGCATTCAAGCTATTTCACAGTTTATTCTGAAAACAAAAACACACTAATTCATCCAACCAATTTCGGCCATATAACGATATTTGATAATATAAACATGTTATAAATTACAAATAAACTAAATATAAACTTAAAAGAAACAAAAGTTAACAAACGTACAATAAAACTGTATCATTTATGCATATCTGCAATATTTTTAGAAAAGTAATAGATTTTACAAAATATTTCAAAAAATAGTATATACTACCTCCTTTTTTTTTATAAATGTCTTTTTGGCTTTATTAACAATTTGTCAAATAAATGACGTTTTGGATCTTTTGTACATATTTTTCCATTATTACCCTTATTTAACTAATAAATACACTACGTTTTTTCATATTCACTCTTCATCTTTTTTCAAAACATCCATATCTATCCTCATTAACGAAAGTTATTATTGGCTAAAAAAAATATTCTTAATTACTGTGCAACTTTTCAAAATAATACTTATTAAAAAAAAAAGAGACTATATAATTTATCCTATCATATTTGACTAAATGGACTTCNAAGAGGTGTTGGAGTTCAAAAGTCCACACAATACCCAAAAGTCCATTTCTTGTATGAGCTTTCTCCTTGTCCTAATGATTGAACCACAAGATGGGCACAATAAATTGATGCAAAACTTTGGTATTTAAATATTTAAATAAATCATAACATGTTGATATTCCTACTTTGTTACGTAAATTAATGCTTTCACTATCATGGGATGCGACGGAAAAAAGACTCAAAAAGTTCAAAGCTATGACTTTGCAAAGTTGAAATAAAACTTGCGTACAAGATCAAATTCTACATATGACTTTGCAAAGTTGAAATAAAAGACTTGCTTAGCTCTCAAATTGCACGTAGCTAGTCACACACACGTCCGTATAAATGTATGTAGACATGACGTTTAAAATATATATAAAGGTATCCATAAGGTATTACACACAAGATAGAGGTTTGCCGTTTGTGTATTATGTTATTAAACATTCGATATAATACTTTTTCTTAAATTAAGTAACAACGCTAACTAGTATAATACCGAGTACTACACGGGTGTTGAGTTAAGAAATAAATTTTTTATTTAAAACATTTGATGGACTAATTGATTAAAAAAATAAATATATAAAAGAATAGACAGTGTAGAAAGTGATTTGTAAATCGTAATTTATGAGAGAAATATAGGAGAAAATTATTATATGATAAAATTACTACTTGCCCAAACTAAGAAGAAAATGTGTACTGCGAAAAAAAAATAACAAAATTAAATGTACATTCACCATGTTTGAAAAAAATTATTTATGTCTAATACCAAGTCTAACTCCAGAGCAAAAATGAATATATACACAAGATTATGAAGTATAGATTTTCGCTATGTCAGCATCCGAAGCGTGCGAGTCTGCCACTTAGGCTGAACACGTTTTGAATTAATATGTAGAGAGGGATATGAGTTAGTTAATATGTACATTGCCATTGAAGAAATATATATATATAAAGGTTTGATTATTTTCTAAATAATAACTATTTCCCTCAAAAAAATCTATTTACTATTCCTAGAAGTTAATTTAACAATTTATGGTATATATCAAATGTTTACTTATGGAAATTGCGGCTCATTATTTAAGGAAGTAATCCAGTCATATTTTAAGATACATTAATTACACAAATCATATGAATTAATTAATACATTGTATAAAGTGGACGAAATTCTTTTTGGTGCTGATGGTTGTTTCTATAGGAAATAAATTAATCAATATATAGTATAAAGTGAGCAAATTTATTTAGGTTATTTGATGAGTATTTTTTAGTAGGAAATTTGTTGAAAACTTAATCAATATACAACAAAATATTATGAACTGATATTTTGATATAATGTGCGTGTATCGATAATTTTTATAGAAAAAGCTTCGGTCAATTTTTCTTTGTATAATTAATGGGTCTCGATTTAACTCATTTTCCGTTACCACATTTCAAATAATTTTTGTGTAAAATGCACTGTTCATTTTTTTTAGCATGATAAGGAGTGTCGATTTTTTTGGCATACAAAACCTTATGTAATTTTTTTGTTAATAAAAAAGGCATATAATGTTATTGGAAATCTTTGATTAGCAATTTATGAGTAAAAGCCCTGTTGTAATGGGACCTCTTGAATAATTTTTTGAGAAATTTGCACCCCATACTAGTCATTAGTATTTATATTACACATATACATCCCATATATATTTATTTGCAATCCTACCAAAATTACCATATTTATTTGCACATATACCAGTTTTTTGTTTAAATATATACCCTAACTTTAGTTTCACGACAGATCTTACTCTCTCTCTCTACACACCTCCATACAGTTTTCACGCATAGAATCCTTTTTTTCTTTTTTTTTATTCGTTAGGCTTCGTTCTCAAACTCCGTCCAGTTTTCACGCATAGAATCCTTTTTTTCTTTTTTTTTATTCGTTAGGCTTCGTTCTCAAAATTTCTGATTGATTTTTGCAGATGATAAGCGAAGAAGAAGAAGAAGAAGAAGAAGAAGAAGAAGAAGAAGAAGAAGAAGAAGAAGAAGAAGAAGAGGAAGAAGATGATGATCTTCCTATATTTTAGGCAAACTGTTTTTGGGTTATCTATGCATTCCATAAATATGTAGCGATAAAAAGGGGAAGGCATTACTATGTTGATAAGAGCATCTCCAATGCTCTAATATTGTAGTAGGATAAATTTTGACAGATGTCAAAAAATTAAGTAGATTGTGAACCATGTAGGACAAATGTTCAGTTCACAATTATTAAATTAAAAAATCATCTTCAATGCACAATGTAGTCAAATTACAATATTATCTACTTACCAAATATTAAAATTTTAATATGAATTAATAAAATTAATCAAATAATTAAATAGCTTAAAAATGGTAATAGTAATTCTCTCTCTTCTCTTCATTGGTTAACTAGAGTGTGGAGGAGAATGTGGATAAACCACATTCTTCTCTACATTGTAGATATTAATTATGTCCACATTATCACAATATTTGTGATCACATTGTACATTGGAGGATGAAAAATTGTAATATTAATAAATATGTTGATGTGGAATGTAATTTGGTACTACAACATTGTAGATATTAATTATGTACATTGGAGATCTAATTAAATATGTTGATTTAGGTAGATACGCTAAAAATTCTCCTAATTTTTTTTAACATTTCACAAGTGTTGGACTACATGAAAAAGCCCATTACTGATATAGTACTAGCCCAGTAAACTATGGGTTGCTGGTAATATCCACATACATTTACCAAAAAAGCCTAAATATACACAATACATGGGACGTCCAACTTAGATGTAGTTTCTTTCATCTTATTTTCCCACTNCATAAAGAAGAACAAGAGAAAACTTGTAGTGCTGAATTTTGGTCCTCTGCCTAATATTCCATTCTTGAATGTATTAGACAAAAATCCAAAAGCTAATTCTTTAGCCAAAAAGTATTTAAAAAAAAAAAAGGCTATTACAAGGACAAAAATCGAGCCGATTTGTAATTTTTCTCAGGTCGAAGACTAATTAAGGGCAATTGGATATAAACAAAATCGATTTTGATTAGTTTATTAGTTAGATTGAGTTACCCTTGAATAAAAATGATCGAGTGCAGGATTGAGTAGAATTTTAAATATGTGTTTACATAATATTTATAATGTAATGAGGATTGAGTAGAATTTTAAATATGTGTTTACATAATATTTATAATGTAATGATTAAACTGTTGTGATGTAAAAGTAGGAGAACAGTTATTGAAAATGATAAGTAGCTAAAAATATGTGAGTGAATGAATAGTGAATTATCATTTGCTATGATATGTGAGTACGATTGTTTGATATTATTTAATTGTATTGATAATATTTGATGAGAGTTGAGTTGGATTAAATTTGAGTTGATGTAGATAAAAATTATTCGGTTAGTCAAAGCGACTTAATCAGTCATACATAAAATATTTTCTTTGAAAAAATGAGTAGCGGAATAAAAGAACGAACTTATGAAAAAAATAACCAAACTAAATCGTAAAAAAAAAAAGAAAAAAATGAACCAAAATCGAACTAAAAATGTCCTACAGTAAAATAACCGAACTGAAACGCAACGAAACACATGATTCGCCTCAGTAACCTCAATTTTTTTATACATTTATGTTTAATTTCGGTATAGTTAGGTGTAAAACCGCATTGAACGAAAAACTTTATGCACTAATGTATTCGAATCGCGTACTGAATTGTACGTTTCGGCTCGATCTTCTACTTTGCTAATGTTTTTTTTTTATCAGTAAATGTAAATTTATAGATCAAAACTGGTGTACAAACGACCGAAAGTCGACATACAAAAGCGCAATGGACAGCCACAAGCTCGGCTCCTCACTCGCATATGAACGGTCTAAGAGAACAACCACATGTCGGTTGTTCACTCAAGTCTCTAATAAGACAAAAAGTGCCAAAACACTAATGCTACACGTCGCTATGCTCGGCTCGACTCCCTCCGCGGCCAAGGCGTCGCTAGACAAGCTCTTGCCTTTACTCTCGAGCTCCCAATGCAAGAGAAGTCTATCATAACCTAAGGCATTTTCTACTTTGCTAATCCTTACTTCTATGGGAAATGGACTTTCTAATTCCCATTATCAAGTTTTTCACCCTAAGCCAAACACGCCTTTAAAAGGACGAATACCATGTTGAACGCATATTTACATACACAGTACCACAAACATAGTGCGGTGCCCTCTACCTTTGAGTCTCTCTCTGATTTTTCTCTTCTCTACTTCGTCCCCTCTGTTTCATTACCCATCCACCGCCATAACCGTATTATCTCTTCAACCTCTTCGCAATTCTCACCGGGAAGCAAGAAGGGGGAGTCCAAAGGAAGCCCAGAAAAAAAAGGGGGTATTTTTAGTGTTCGAGGTGGTGGTGGTTTTCCGATGGCAGCGCCGCCGGTGAAATCGCAGCCATTGCACAACTTCCCTCTCTCCCAACTGAGATGGGCCCACAAGAAATCGTCCTCCGCCGCAGCTGGCTCCGCCCTCCACCCCCACCGCTCCCGCCGTCGCGATTCCCCTGACGATCAGGGCCGCCGCGGCCGTCCCGACTCTGAGTCCGACCGCGAGGCCCAACCTCAGGACCCTGTTCAGGACCCAGCGGCCGATTCGCCTCCGAAAGGCAAGGTTTTAGCTCCTGAGGCGGCGGTGGAGGAGGACGAGGACGAGGAGGCAAAGCCGTGGAACCTGCGGCCGAGGAAGGAGGTAGCCAGGGCGGTCGCGTCGTCAAGAAAGGAAACGGTCTGTGCCGAGAAAAACGACGGTAAAAACAGCGGCGGCAACTGTAGCGGGATAAAGTCGCAGAGGCTGAGGGGCATGGCGGAAGGGGCGCACAACGGCGGTGGCGAGAGGGAGGGAAAGAGGAAAATCTGGATTTCTCTGTCCAAGGAAGAAATCGAGGAGGATGTTTACGCATTTACCGGCGGAAGACCTTCCCGGAGGCCAAGAAAATGGCCTAGGAACGTTCAGAAGCAGCTAGATGTATGTAAACCTGAAATCAATCTCTATATGTGTTTGTGTGTGTGTGTTTTCTGCTGCTGTTGCTGAAAGTAGTGATTTATTTTAGTGCGAGTTAAGAGTTGATAAAATCAAGGTTATGTTTGATTGGGGTTTTTAAGCATGACTTATTATATGTGTTCAATGGGCTCTATGTTTGCTTTGTTTTTGACAGAATGTATTTCCTGGGATGTATTTGGTTGGGGTTGCAGCTGATTCGTATCGAGTTATGATGTCCTGGTATGCCGCATTCATTTTATTCTTATTGTTTTTGCTGCCTTTTGTTTTCTTAATCTAGCTGAGATTTTTTGGGCTTGCATGCTTTAGTTAATTTCTATATTATTGAAAGATAAAGTCTCATCTCTGGGAATTTGAATGATTGAATATGAAAAGAAGTATTTTCGCAGAGGCGAACATGGCACTGTAGATGAACCCACACGGTAGTTTGTTTGAATGTGCTCGTAAATGTTTGGTGCTTCATGATTATCTTTGTTCCTTATGAACTTGCTAAGTTGCTGCTGGTTGATTTACATATGTAATATGCAGAGGTGGATGTGAAGTTGAATGGAGGCTCGTACGCAAGTTTTTTTTTTTTTT